AAAAAAAAAAAAAAAAAACCACTAAATAAACGACAAAAAAAAAAAACCTTCGGGCTCTATTTTTCGGCGAACGCAAAACGACGAAGGCTCTATTTTTCGGCGAATGCAAAGAAGGGCCTACGGGTAGAGGAGAGATAGGTACTAAAAACGACTAAGTATACGAAGAAGAATACCTCACAGCTAATTTCTAGACACTTCAAACATTTTTGTCCTTGAGGAACAAGTATGGATCTTTAACGAACGAGATCTTATACACAACGAATGAGACCTCTTCTCTGACGAAAAGACCTATTTTTCTTCGCAAGCTTCTTTGCTCCATTCGGCGGAGTTTTTGGTACCCGTTAACCACGAGTGTTGTTCTTGCATTATTCTGTGCAGGTCTGTTTTGTACGTGATTTTGGACTGAACTGGACCTGAACTGTTAAAGAGTCTCGGACACACAACACTTGTGAAAGTGGGAAAGGTTCTCGGCGGTAATACTTCCGAGTTCATTATCTGTCCTACCTAACTTCTATATTATCTAATGCTCCGTTAAGTCATAACCTATTAGGAGAAATAGGATGCCCAATGTAGTGAAATGGTTTGACCGGTACCTTGATCACAACTATCAGATGAATAAACAAATTTCGGACAAGGAAGCGGAAATAGACTGCCTTTTAAAAGTTCGACCTGAATATCTAACGGGTCAGTTCTGGGCATCTTACCGCGCGTACCCCATTTTATGCTACAGTGATCGAGAAAACGCTCTCGGTCGACCTACCTATACAAAGGCAAGTAAAAGCCTTCGCATGTGGGTCGGTAGCTCAACAGGGATACGCCTACCTAAGGGTGGTGACAGCCCCTCGGGTAGAGATAAGTTATACCTCGCAACGTCCCGACCTGTCGTGTGGCGTCGTGAGAGGTATAGCCCGCGCGCACGGTCGGAGTGTTGACCAGTTGCTAGTCAAAAATAAATCCTGCGTGACACGATCGTGAGGTTCAGCGCTCCCAGCAGGGTGCGGGACCGCCGCGCGCGACAGC